AAAATTTTCTATAAGCATACAAACTTAAAAAACATAACAATTTAAAACAGTGTCTACAATTTTAGTCACCTCTGTATATAGGTGATAAAGTTAAAGCACAAAATATTAATAACGGAAGCATAAGAATTTATCTTGGTAACGCGCATTGCACGTGCAAATGTCAGTACATCACGTAATTTCAACCTGGCATCGTTGTCTGTGAATTTATTTCATTGTAAACTGAATATTAAGTGCAAAAAATTAAAATATTTTTAGTATTCTAGTACTGAGAATTTAAAATTGTTCCGTTAGATTATTTTTTCAATATATTTATCATTACGAAAAAAATAATTGCGCAAAAAAAATTCTACGTACACACATTTTATTAAAAAATATAAATTTTCTAATAATTAAATTCTTAGAAAATTTTCTCGCTAAAAAAGTTTTAAAATATAATTTTAGACAAAAAGTTAAATCCCAGGATTAGTTATTTTAATCCCGGGAGTTGAAGAAACGACGGGATCTCGGGGCCGCAATTCCTAATAGGTTGGAAACATGTGATTGTCGTTATCATGTGACAATGACGTCACATGTATTTAGCCCATTCTGTAATTTGCGTTTAGCGACGCCAAGTTGTTCGTTGTGTCGGAGTTTTACTTTTGAACAATGCATTAAATTAGAAATTCCTTCTTTCAAAGAATAATCAAATAATTTTTTTTCGAATAATTATTGTGAAAAGTTTTATAAGATATTTCGAAGTTCATTTGAAAAAAATTTATATATTTGACATTATTATTTTTTTAAATAAATAAGCAAAACCAAATTTTTATTTCTCTCTGAAAGAATTTTTACTTATCAAACTTTCGTCTTTTTGTAATGATTCACAGTTCCTGCGCATTATCTTTGGAGCATAATAACACTGACGGTGCATAAAATAACGGTGGAAATATTGCATATCAAGAATATGTTTTTTGCTTTTGAATAAGAAACGTAAGATTATCAAAATATAATATTTCAAAGTAAGATCTAGACAAAAGTACGCGTGCATTACGGTGTTGATGGAGATCAGTCAGCAGGAGTAAAATATAGTGTGTACCATTGTCATTAAATTAACATGAAAGTTCTAAAAAAGCGCTACGCAAGATAAAGCACAATGAAAACTTTCGAAAGTTTCGTGATACAAACTTATTTGTATTCTGTTTTGATCTCTAAATTATAGATTCTCATACAAAGCAAGTTGATTTTCTACAAAAGGATTTTTCGATGTTTATGTATGAAAGTTTACTTAGGGAGTTACATTTTTTATAAAAATTTTTACACACACCTGCAAATGATTTTATAATCTACAATGTTCTTTCCAAAGATTTAATTTTAAATCTATTTGGATAAATGTCAGTTTTAAGCTTGTTTGTGGAATTAATTTCTTAAACAGTTTCCTTCAAATTTTAGAGTTGAAGAAAACCGAGTTCAAATATAATTTAGGTTAATGTTTCTTTTTTGTTTATTGATAAAGAATACTTTTTGCTGATTTTTCAAGCAATGCAGTTTTAAAGTTCGAATTTCCCCCTCTTCCTTAAAAATTGTAACGTAAATGCTGATTTGGTATTTGGGATAGAAAGCTTCCAATATCTTTTTATTATGAAATAGACTTGAGTATATTTTAAAACTGGGCATGACATATTTGTGCAAAAGTGATATTTTTTGCAACAACATTTATAAAATCGCTGAATTTAGTTAAATATACATTGATTTTTCATTAAAATTGCCCTTGCAAGGGCTATTGGAAAATGATCTTTTCATTCAATTTCTCTACTATTAGTTCACTCTCTCCCTATATATATATATATATATATATATATATATATATCTTGTTCAAAATTCAATCGTTAGTAAAATCTTTCTATTCATTCATTCAAGTTCAAATACACTTTTTAAAACTTGTAGTGGAGAGATGGCACTTGATGTTAATACATTTTTCAAATGTTAACTCATTAATTAAATTAAAAAATGAATAAATAGCAAACAAAAATAATAGTCCAACAGCACATATAGAAAGGAAAATAGTTCGTTGTGTCCCTGTAGCGTAATGGATAGTGCGTTGGATTTCAAATCCAAAGATCGTGGTTTCGAAAATCCCACCTGGGATAATCTAATTTCTGAGAGAATGTGCTTCCTTTTTTACTTTTTTCCATTTTATTAGAATAATTAAATTAAATAAATGAATAAATAGTAACAAGCAAAAAAAAAAAAAAAAAAAGGAAAAATCCAACATTCTACACTGGTGTGCAAAACTTAAGCAACAATGTAAAAATTTAGCAGATAGCCATGAAATTGCAGAAAAGGAGGTCTGGAGATCAGTAGAGGGAACACGTAAGTCAGTAGAAACGTCATGCGTATGCAAATATCAGGAACAAAACGTCAGAAGCGATGTGAGCGTACGCAAAACGCGTGATGTCGGCGCGCGTTGCTCAACAGTAGAATGAA